CATTGTAATAACCGAAAATATAATGAAATAAAATAAGGATAAATAATTAGCTGATGGATAAATAATTAACCGATGGGTAAATAATTAGCCAATAAAATTATATTTATAGTTTAGTTTAGTGTAACGAGATAGTCATATGATAATAGATCTTCAAATTTTATTAGAAAAAATAGAAGTATTAGAAATATTTTTTCTTAAAATGTATAAATACAAGTGGATTTTGATAGAAATTCAGTAGTTCAATTTTTGGAAAATAAAAATTTTAGTTCGTCCTTAATAATAAACTAACACATTCTTTTAGCCTTTTTCTTATGAGCAAAAAGTGCCACATTAATTATTTTTAATTAATGGTTTATTAATGTTTTGTAACTAATTTTTTTATTTTATTTTAAACCAAGCATAGATATTATACGAACTCAGCACGTCGGTGGCAACATACGATATTTTATTTTAATATCCTATGGGCGGCGTGTTACAACATATTATCCTGTTTCTTTTCCAATATGATTGCAATAATAGGAGGCCAGTATTTTAAATATAAAAGCTGATTCCCAAACAGGTAGAGATAAGTACAAATAAAAAGGTATCAAATTGGTAATGAAAAAGCTGTAAAACATAATCAATGTAAATTATATCAGAAAGTATTTATAATAATGCAAATACTAATAAAAATAGGGCATTCAGGTTATTTAGTTATAGTCATAATTAGATTATTTAATCATATGATTATAAATGATAAATAGGAAATAGAAAAAGAAATTCAATTTCAAAGGCAAGAAATATAATAAGAAAAATAGGTAGGTATAAAAAATTGTCACAATTAGGTTATTTAATTAGATTATTTAATCATAATTAGATTATTAACTTTAGATTATTTAATCATAATTAGATTATTAACTTTAAATTATTTAATTATATTTAAATTATTTAGTCATACCTAGATTATTTTATTTCTAAATAATCTAATCTAAGTTATTTATGATTAAATAATATAATTATATTATTTAGTCATAAATAGCTGGAAAAAATCATAATAATGTAACATAAAATTTCCTTTTATAATAGGATCTGTAAAGAATTTTATATATGATTTTTACTTTAGGCCTGGGAGTGACCTATCTTATAAGTAAACAGGACCCTGTATAATTATATGGAAATTAAGCTGTAATTTATTTCTTATTTTATTGTATTTTGTTTATAAAAGTATTTTTTAATACTAAATAAAAATTTTTTTTAAAATTTTTGTAACTTTAAAAATATAAAAGTGAATTATTAAATTTTAAAAAAAGATAAATTATTTTTTTTTTATTATAATTAATAAATATATAAATAATATTAAATATACAATAAATAATTTATTAGTATTTATATTAAAAAAAAAACTAATAACAATAAATTATTATAAGAAAAAAATTTTTAAATAAATATTCTTTGTGTTTTTTTTTTATTATAAATCAAAAATTACAGAGTATTTTAAAAATAAATATCCTTATTTTTTATTTTTTATTTTTTTTCTTAGAAAAAAAAAAAAATATATAAAAAAATGTCAAAATTTTTTTGGTGGTACAAAATTGATCTGCATCTAAGTAGTAACACATCTATTACATATGTCACACCCTTTTGTTTATATTTATATAAAGGGCAAACCTTATTCGTCACATATTATTCGTCACCGGTTATTTTCATGTGTTAGTGCATAATGTGACGTCACTTGATTACGATGTTGGGATAGCCCTTTTTGCAACTGACCTGTGATTCTGGCCCGCATTATAATGATCTTTGGCCGGAATTGTATTCAAATCAGAAGTTTATTTTTGAAATATGCGATATTTGTTGATTTATTGATGTGTATATCACATTAATAAATATAAGTTGTTAATACGCATGATAATACATGTATTTTAAGATTATTATAATCTAAAAAAAGATTGACGCAGCTATTTTTAAAGGAGATTAAAATCGATTATAATTATTAATTTAAATTCAAGTGTAGTAAAGTAACATCTTCAATGGAAGGAAAATAGGGAAATACAATTCTTTTTTTTATGTATTCAATGAGAAATGTATTATGTTAATGGAAATGTGGCTTGTTCATAAGAATCAATGGATCTAATTATGGATCAGTACTTCAGTAGATCTTTCGAAATAAGAAACAATGAAAAAGATAAATAAATTAATTTATAAGTTTTTAAACAATAAAACATTAGAACATTGATTTTGTAAATTAGAAAACTTTCTATTTTTATTAATTTCAACATTTGACAACAGATTTATTAATGTTTAAATAATGGATTCGTTGATTATGATTAGCATTTATGTGAAAATGCTTTGCAACTTGCAACCTGCAAATTATTTTTCATTTAGCTCGAATCTAATAAATTATTTATAAATTTGGACGAAAATATATATAATAATATATAATAATTATCAGTAATAATAAATATTATGAAATGGCTGTGAGCCTGTGACACTATATTTTTTTTGTAACTTCCTCTACAGTTTTTTAATATTGTTTTCCAAGAAAGGGAACCGCCTATTATAGCCAAATAAAAACCAAATAAAAAAAAAGAACTCAACCAATATATATTTAGTTAGATTGTATAACCTTTTTAGTCGTTCAATATAATAACATTTGTGATATAAGTGATGTTAATGAAGGTATTTATTGTATTAGAAAATTTTTCGCGATAATTGTTTATTTTATTTATGAAAATGATTTTTTCTGATTTTTTTTTTATAGTATAAATAATTAAATGAAATTTTACTGAATGACTTTTTCTTTGCTCGCGGTGTAACCTTGTGAAATAAGAAAAATTCAAAATAACAATAATAAAAAGGGACCAGAAATGAATATTAAGATGAAAAAAAAACGCATAATATAGTTGGGATATATCGATAACTTTATTTTCTTGATTATATTAATTAAAAAATGATATATACCATTTTTTTTGATTAAATTTTCTCATCTAAATTTCTTAGAATCGACGAGACAAAAATCGTAAAAAAATTTTTCTTTTTTCGTTGATTAATTCTGTTAAATGCAAGAAAATCCCTCTTGCGACAAGAAAAAGAAGAAAAAGAAGAAAAAAAAATTGTAAATTTTTTAGTTTAAAACAACTTGGGCTTTATTTTTGTTGAACAAATGCTATTTTTTTTTTAGAACGGGATAATTCGGAATTAAGTTATTTATTGTGTATCATCAGTATCATCGTGTGACTTATCCGACTTATCCATTTATTTACATGTTTACATCTAGACTATTCTCGACATTCAAAGAAAATTTATATAGTAAATTATTAATTAATCTTTTTCACATGAATTTACACAAATAAATAAATAATCCTATTTATATATAAGACATGTTAAAAATGACAACTCAAAAAAGGTATTTTGTTTGCATAAAGTATCACATCATATTTTTATTGCATAATTTAAAACTTTACTCTAATATATAATAAATAAAATGTATATTAAATAAATAAATTAATTCTTAATAAATTTTTTATAAAAGCTATAATCATCATCTTATAATAATAAAAAAACTTAAAAAATTTAGTAAAAGAAAATGCTTAATAAATGTTATCATAATTTATCTTAAGTAAATGCTATGATATTATTTTTCCCTCTCCCAAAAATATAAAAGATTTGTGAATAAACATAATCATAAGTCAAAAAATCGTATTTTTGCATATAAAGTGCATAATTTTTTAAAATTCATTAAAATTCATAGTACATTGTGGCTTACACCATTGGGTGGTCCTTTTTTGTTAATAAATTACAATTATTACAATTTGAGATACCATTCCATAAAATCGTTGAATAGTATCAAATTATTAATGAATGATTTTTCATATATATCATAATAAACTTTCAATAATAATTCGGTAGATTTTTCTTCGAATTGAAAAACATTATCGATATATTCTTCAACTTTAATCATGATTCTTATTTTTAAATTTAAAATAGTTGAAATATTTTCATAATATGACATCTCAGATGAGTCATTAATAATAGCGATCAATAATTGTGATAATCGATTAAAGAGATCTATTATCTCTTGTATCAACATACTTTTTGAATTTTTTGAGATTTCTCTATTAATCTCATATTTTCTTTTATATTCATCTTTTTTACTTTCAGGTGTATTCTTCCATAATTGCGATACTTCTTTACTAAATTCCTTCATTGTCATATTGTTACCTACGTTTCTAGCGAATTCTAACATTTCATTACGAAATGAAATGAAACAATTTTCTATTCTCTTTTTTTTATTTTTTTCTTGCGTAAAAGAATCGGTTTGGTTAATAAATTGTAGATACATGACGAATTTTAACGTAAATCGACGGAATAGTATTATGAAGGATTGTTATTATTATTATTTTTTTTTTTAGTAGGTAACGATTAAAAAAATCGAGCGTAAAAAAAAGGTTCATTCCATTTAATTTATATTTAAAATTTCTTATTTACGTTATGAAATTATATAATTCATTCATCCGGAATTCTTTCTCGGAAGACTTTTCATGATATAAATCCGACACGTTTATTGCATCGAATATAAAAAAGTTATTATCTTCTGAAGAGAAATAAGTCATTCATTATCTTTCATTTTATGGTATACCATTACGAAAGAAAGAAAATTTTGAACATATATGGAACTTTTTTTGTAATTTGTCATTATCGTCTGTTAAATTTTAAATAAAAAGGTATTCTTTTAATGTAAAAAGTTATAAAACAAAAAAGTCACATTGGAAGTACAAAAGTACAACCGTGAGTAATTAAATCATGAATAAAAACAAAAAAAGAAACAATTATGTGGCTTGAAAAAAATTTAGGAGAAATAAAGAAATATATGAATAAGACTTTCCTTATTCTTCTTGGAAATTCTCTCCTTTTCACTTTCCACTATAAACATAATAAAAGAAGGTGAAAGATTGTTATTTGTTTGTTCTGCGCAAAAAAGGAATATATATATAGAAAAAAATTTCGTCATTGAAACGTCATAGAATACTAGAACGCCATTAGAATGTTTCTTTCTAATTCCTTCCCAATTTTGCTAATGACGGTTGCAGCATTATTGAATAACAGCATGACGTTATTTTAGCCAAAAAGTCATGAGTTTAAAACTTATTCAAGAGATCATTTTATAAAGTGTCCAAAAAAAGTTTTTTTTTTTTTTTTGTATTATTTATTCATTTTTCGCCCCTTTTATTTGATTCCAAACGGTATTTATTGTAACTGCACTTTTTTTGGTTTAATTGATGCAATATTATGTCAAAAAGTCAAATGACTTGATAACGTAAGTTATTTATTTTATTTATTTATTTTTGAAAGGATAAATCGTATGCAAGTTTTTTTTTTTTTGAAAGGGGATGTAGTTTTTTTTTTTGTACGACTTGCGATTCGAATTGTGTTTTGTCGGTCATTTGTGTGCATTCAAAAAAAAAACAAATAATGGAACACAAAAGAGAAATTCCCGAGATTTACTTTTTTAAGTGACAATGAAAGGAAACTTTTACATGACCAATCATAGGTTTCCGTTAAATAAATAAACAATAATTATGTCGTGTAAAATAGTTATCAAACAAAATTACCAGATCGAGATCATGCATTGTGCGACTAAGTTCAATGCTTTTTATTTAATATATACGGTAGAAAATTTTTAACAATGAACGTTGATCGTTTTCAATTTTGACAAATCAAAAACTATATTCAAACATTCTTTTGAAACTTTGATTTGATTCGAGAACTTTTAAATGTATATTTTTTTTTTCAAAAAAAAAATGTCAATTTTCTACCCCATGTGACCTAAAAATATTCATCACCGGCATCACATCCCACCGCGTTTTCACTGTTTATATTTATCTGAGGGACTTAGTTTTTTTTTTTGCCTCCCAAAATTATTTTTTTCACATACATTAAATGTCACCGGTCACGTGGTGTAGAATTTTAATTATAAAATTTTTGGTGTTACAACGGTAAATCAGCCCATTTATATTTCCATGTTATTTTATGTGGCGCGACTCTAAATCTATTAAACTTAAAAAGCATTTTGAAAAGCTTAGGCATGCATGCATGCATGGAATCTTATTGTAAAGCTGTACACAATTTTTCTTTACGATAAACGCGTTTTTTTTATAGATTTTAAATATTAGTTTTAACGTTCCAGTTAAATGAATCAAATACTTGAGTGACTAAATAGAATTATTTAACAAGCATAAAAATAGGTCTAGAGTAATTTGTCTAGCAGATATTAAAATATTGAAGCTAGCTTGAATGTTTATGGAATGGAGAAAATTAATAAATAGTATATTTGAAAAATTATTTTCTTTAAATTCTATTAAATTTAATAAAGTGTAAATGAGTTTATATTATAAAATAAATTTCAATTATAATAATAACTAAAGGTGAGGGGAGCCAACTTTCTTTAAATATATGTCATTATTTTCTGGTTTTTTTTTCAAAGATAAATGTTACACGAAAAGCTGAGTCGCAGAAAACCAGCAGATCGAGCAATTTTTTTATTTTTTATTTATTTTTTTTATTAATAACTTATTATATAAAAAAATGACGCATCGGATCAGATCTATCCGGATTATCCGACGAATATATTAAAATTAGTATCGATGTAGATCATCATGCTATATTTTTAGGGTTGTTTTTTGGGCTTAAAGCCGGAACGAATGATTTGTGTTTTTCTTAATTACATGATGAAAATCTAATATTGAAATTTTGTGAAACTATCGATCCTGTCACATTTATGGATGATTCATTATCGATTTGAAATTTGATTTAATTTATTTATTTTTGGAATGATCACCTTTAGACCTGAAACTCCGAATCATATGTTAATTCATTGAACAAAGAACCTTATTTATAGTTCCCACGTCTTCTAGCATATTATTGATGTACAGGTATTTTATCGATTTCGATCACAGGGTGAAAAATGTGATTAGGCTAAAAAAAACTTTATATTTTTATTATATATATATATTTTTAAACATTATCTAATATTTCAATCTACTGTATATATCAAATCTATTATTCACTAGATTAAATAATTTTTTTTTTTTTTATAAATTCACCATCTACGGAATTCATTTTTCCTAAAATGAACGTTCTAATGGGGTTTCTCAAACCGGTATCATTTGAATTATGTGAAACCAAAATTATCTAATCCTTGTTGATGCGTCATTTTATTCATATGTTGAGACCAAAATTCATTGTATATGCTTATGTGTATATAAATAAATAAGCAAAGGTTTATACACACGACTATCATTGAACAAATTTGATTATCAAAAAAAATATTTTTTATTTATTTTCTTTTTTTTTTAATAAAAAAATAATATACATCTATTTTAAAAATTTATAATATCGGCTTCTTCTCCCCTTGTACTAATGATTTCAATGAAGTACAATCAATTAACATGTTTCACTTTGGCGTAAAATACTTGATTTTAAACAAGAAACTTTCTATAAATGGAAGAAACTTGAGATAACTTCCAGGAATGTTGAATAACCGGGGAACAAAGCAAAATTTACTTATATAACAATTGTCACACTTAAATGATAATACATTGTAAATTTATTATAAAAATCGAAAAAAAAACAAAGAAAAAAAAAATAAAAAAAAAGAATAAAAAATATATACACTCGTAAAACAATCATAATGAACACAAACGAAATAAACATCAACAATAGATTATTACCTCCTTCAATATGTCTTGTTGAAAAAAGTCTGGATCAAACTTCTTCGGATGAAGATGATGAGGTAAAATTACCACCTCATTCAAAATGTCGCGATTCACCTATTTCCTCCGAAAAGGATAAAGAGACGTATAATGAAGAGGAATTACACTCTAATGGGTATCTTATATTAGCAACCACAATGCCCACTGTTGATAAAAATGTAAAAAGTATAAAATTGATTGAGAATAGAGAATTTTTAGAATTTTTAATCGAATTTCATAATATCCATATTACAATTAATGTGTTACCGTCAAGTGAAGAAGGAGAGGAAATTGGGCAACGCGTAATCTACTTTAATGAGCATCGTATATTAATAACTACGATGCTCGCTGAAAATAATGTAATTAATACAACCATGCTTGGCGCGAGAGAATTCTTAATCGAATTCGAAATTTTTATTGCAATTAGAATCTTGGAATATTGATTTATATCGTTGTTATAAATTCTTTCTTTTTTTTTGTTTCTTCATTTTTTTTTTGTTTGTTGTAAATTGATGATCTATAATTTTCAAAGATAATAAATAATGGTTATTAATTGTTCTTCGTGTAATAATAAAATGTGATTTTGATTGACACAAATTTGAAAAACAATACAAAACTATTAAAAGAATTGAATTATTCAAAGACGAACCCTGACCAAGACTGACCCTGACCAAATTAAAATGTTGTTTGGCGTTAAACTACAAAAGAATCCGAATGTCCGAAAATTAATATTTCCTAATTAATAAAAATAATAAAAATGAAAATTCTCAAAATAAATTAATGATTTTAAAATAAATTATTTTAACAAAGTGCAATGAGTCTTCGAACGTGTCTCACCTTATCAATGACAATTATCATATGTGAAGACAGTATCTTCATATGTCGGGACTTTTTTTTCATGCGATATCTTTCGGAGAGTAAGTTCCATAATAGCACAATGAGAGATAAAGAAAAAAAAATACTTTTTTAGGAATTGGCTTGGAATATTTAAATCACGAATTTTTAATTTTTCAAAACAAAAAAAAAAATAATAATAACTTTTTTGGATAAATTAAATAATTAAAGAATAAATTTAATAATGTGATAATGTGATTAATAAAAAAAAAATTTACAATGTAAAAAGTTTCCCATTTATATTGTATGCATGATTTATCTCTTACTCTTTTTTTTTTTTATTTACCCTTCCAAAATTATTCAAAAAGAAAATAAAAATACTAACGCGATTTTTAAAGTAACACGGTCATATTGCTTTGTGTTATTAATAATTCTGATTTTTAAGTTTCTTTTTTGCGTAAGAGAAAATTCGTAAAAAAGTTCGCCGATCAATTATTTTATGTCTTCATGGTTACACTTACACATACTAAATTGGGAATAAGGAAAAACCTCATCAAATTAAACGCTGGATAAAATTTTTTTTTTTTAAATTTTTTTTTATATATATGACATAATAATAATCAACATTAGATAAGCTTTCTTATTCTTTTGTCTCTTAGCAAGAAAAAAATTTTTTTTTGTTTTTTTTTAAAACTCCGAACTCCGTTGCGATCTCAATTGTTAAAGTTTCAAAAACAAGTCCGGTAAAGGAATAATAAAGTTTTTAAACAACAAGATTTAGTTCAGCCGAATGTATTGTAAACCCATATTACCTTTTTTTTTTTTTTGAAATTAAAATGAGTTGTTTATTACGTTATTATACTATCTATAATATAAAATAATTATATAATATATATATATATATAT